TATAGAGTATTTAGAAAAAAGTCTTATCAGTCACCCATGTGAGAGATTATTAATGGGAAGAATACCATAGATTACTAATAGAAGACCTGTTTTTCCAAGAAGGTGTCTCTTACATTCAGTCAATCAAATCCAGCAGGGATTGAGAAAGATGCTCTCTTTTGAACAAGTGAGCTAATTCATGGGCCAAATGAATCAAGATATGACTGGGTAGGTGGCAATTTTCAGTTCCAGTTTGACAACCAAAGAGCGGAGCTGACTGAGTTTTTGCAAAAATAGATAATAAATTGGCTGCTGGTCTCCCAGACCAAAATCTGACATTAGCTACTGAATAATATCACAGTGCCCTCCTTTTTCATGGTGCAAATCCTACATAAAGATGGTGAGAAGCCTGCTGAAGATTGTATGAGTAGACATGTAAAGGACGGGTTGCATGAATCAATATTTCAATCTCCTTTTGACCTCTGGAATCATCTGAAACTGGCCTTCCCACTTGCCTCTGTGGAAAATCCATCTGCTTTGCCAAGGTATGCAATTATCTAAACAGAGCTGGCACAAATCATTGTGATCCAGCTCTGGACAAAATGTTCCATGTTAAACATCAGTTTATAGTTTATAGTGGTGGGATGAAAGTGGGGTAGGGGAGAGAGAGGAGAAACAAAAAGAGATTGCAGTAGATCAGCTACCAAAGCAACAAACGTAACATTAGAGGGGTGAGAAGGATAAGATAATTTTGATCCCAGTTTCAATTTCTGCTTTTTCCACATGAGCTCCAGTGACATGAGGGTCCTGGGCTGCCAGTCTTTTCTTGAAGTGGTTGGGAAAGAAATTTCATTTTCCATCTTTGCAAAGACTTAGTCAACTCAGCTCTCTGGTTGTCAAACTAAAACTGAAAGTTACCTGTTCAAAAGAGAACATCTTTCTTAATCCCTGCTAGATTTGATTGACTGAATGTAGGAGACATATTTTGCAAATACTGCTAACATATATGAGACTGAGTTCATACAGTACATTAAGCCATGATGCAGATTGTTTAGTTTTTTGCTTGGTACAGATGAATGCAGCTGTCAGGATTGTAAATCTTGATGGCTTAGCATGCAATGCAAAGACAAGCAATCTGCTGAGTGCAGTGGAGGAGTGCAATCATGGTACTGAAGAAAAGTTTCATAAACTTTCACATGTGAGGCTATTAAGATGAATAGGGTAGCTGATAATACACCCCAAATATTGAACTGTTAATGTTTGTTAAAGTTGTATGAATTTTTAAACAGAAGGCTAATAGTAAGGCAAAGAAGGGTATTAGTAAACAACTGAAATAAGTTTAGAGAAAGGAAAATTGATCTTCAAGGAAAAACGGAGCTCTTTCTTTCTTTCTTTTTTAAGCTACATAAAAATGTTCCTTGGTTTGCTAGAAATGTCCATTCTATAGCAAATTATTGTGTCAGGCCTGCATTGCTGTAGTAAGGAAAGGATTCAAGAGGACATTCTTTAAATTCCCTGCATATATAAGAGCTGAGACAGACAGGCAAAGACTGTCTGGGCTCTTTTGGAGTCAGTTTAATCTTAGGTGCCCTGACAGAAAAAAAAACTAAAAGAGTGTCAAGGCTGACATACCACAGGCCTTTGAGATACATTTAGAGCTTGGTACAAAAAAAAAACAACTTTTCAGCCTTGACAAATTTCTACAGTAAAGAAAGATTCACTCACAACAAGTTGGAAAATTCTGCGGAACTAACTGAACAGGCTAGTTGTGATCTGGATCCACTGACACCTGAGGCTTTGTGAGGCATGCTGAGGCAAAAAAAAAAAAAAATAGTGATCTTAACTGAATTTATATACACGATTGTTTGCAAACCATGATTTATAAAATATATTCATGTATTCAGTCATAGCCTTGGTTATATAGAAACTATTCCTGGAGACACAAAGGCATTTGTCTTGAATTGTTCATATTTATCTAGATTTTTCTTATGTTTGGCATGGCTTTATTTATTTGCTTATTTATTTATTAGTTATTAAAGGTATGTATTCTTGGTCCTGCTTTGTATCTGTACTCTTCACCTGGGTTTCTACTCTACAGTATATCTGTTGATCTCTCAGCTTCTCCTTCTGTGCAGATTGGTTTAATATGACTTGTTGCATACAAATTCTTTTTTAAAGTTTGCAGCAGATATGTGATGTTTGTTGCATAGAGATATTTAATAGCTGGGAATGATGGGATTTGCTCTCCAACATATCTGGAAGAAAATATTTTGAGGAACACTGTTTTGGGAAATAGTAAGTGCTACAGCTTTCCAAGTGACCTTTTCAATGGAATGGTAAGCCAAAACTGTATCCCACCCACCTGTTTCTTAAAATATACTCCTCCTTCAGTGTGAGTGGGCAAGGAAGAGAGATCTGTTTTTTTAAAAAAAAACAATCTGGAAAGTTGCCTTGTGGTTGGAAATGATTTACAAAATTTTAGAGAAGACATCATACAAATGTTGTGTGCCTCCTGTGGAGCCCAGTCAATACTTCACATCAGGTTAAATGGTACTATTTCTTCCCAGTGCTACCAGACTTGTAACATTTTCAAAGCCGAAGAAGGCAATGTTTGTGGGCAGGTGTATTCATATAGCTAACATGACTCCTTTATGTTAAAGGTGAAGGAAAGCTAGAAACCAGCTTAGACCCTCATCTCTCAGGTTTCTCCATTGGGAACTTCTATGACTCAGCTATGGACTCATATCTGAAAAACGTTATTGTGATTTCATTGGGATTCACATTTCTCTTTACTGCTTATGGAGGGCTCCAGAATCTTCAGGTAGGTTAACTGTATTTGGATCTATGAGATCCTGTTGCGCACTATCCATTCCAGAATATGCAAAGAATGAATTGTACATGCTCTCTTCTCTTCTCTTCTCCTCTTCGCTTCTCTTCACTTCACTTCACTTCTCTTTTTTTGGGGGGATTGACTAATTGAAGGGTATGGACCTAAAATGTTTACGATGCTAACCATTATATTTATTGGTGGAGTGGCTTTTAAGTAGTGTCATGTGACACAATGGTTGTGGGCTGATGTTTTACCAACTGTATTACCACCTTATATAGAATTGATATAAATTCATTTGCTTTCCACATTTCTCTGCTTTTATTTTTTCCTGATCATGTACATTTATATGTACCTATGCATTTGTGTATGTGTGATGTGTATTCATATAATACTTATCATACTAAATATATATTGCCTAGACATGATTAACCACTCTGGTGGCTGTTTTATTTATTTTATTATGTCTTTTAATTGCTGTTAAAATTATTCTCTGTAATTTTAATGTTCTGTATGCTGCCTTGGGAAAACCTGATTTTCAGAGGCAAAATGCTATTATTTTCAAACAGATGAGGTGAGGTTGCCTAATGGAGGAAAGTTTTAACCCACAAATTGAAATAAATAGTAAGTGCCTCAAGATAAGAGCAGTGATCCTGGTGGTGTGACCAAATAATTTTTGTTGTATCGGGGCAGAAAATCTTCAGCATCTATCACTTTTCAACAACATTCATTCCCAACAACTTGCTGCCCTTTCATGACTACATAAACCAGTGTGCCTGGCTGAGGAACTCTGGGAGTTGAAGTCCACAAGTCATAAAAGGGCCAAGTTTTAATACCCGTGACATAAACTATCAATCATCCAGGTAGACCAGATAGGAAACACCATCAGATGTGCTTCCTTATTGTAAGATTCCTTTCAAAGATTCAAATCCTTACAATTCTGAAAGTACAAAACTCCCGCTATCTCCTTTGCAGCCTCTGAAAGTCACTTTCTCTGTCCATTATGCAGCTGTGGGCCATGCACCCTCTTATCTGTTTGTTCCCTCAGCAAAGTCTTTCTCACATTACAAGAACTTACCACCTAACTTTCTCAGGCTGGAATAGCTTTGGATAAACATTAGCACTTTAATTGATTATTGGTGGCAATTGGTGGCTTGGTCAATCTGCTTCCTTTCTAAAACTGCCCCATGGCAAAAGATACTACATATTTTCATTGCTCTGTACAATAAAGACTGATGAGTCTGGATTCCCCAATAGAGGACCTTAATCTGTGAGCACCCATGGAGGGAGGCTTGATGAAATGTGTGTGATGACATCATCACCCATTCGCTCTGACTTCTTCAGAGGTCAGGACACAGTAAGCTAAGGCAGCATTTTGTGATGACAATGCATTTGTCATATGTGTTTGATATCATGGTTTCATTGCCAAACCTCTCTGGCTTAACTGTGTCTTCCTCTATTTTTATCTATCATTGTCCCCCATGCATTATCGTGTTTGCTATAAATATGTGCCTCTGTTGCATTTTGTCTGTGCAGAGCAGCCTCCACTCTGAAGAAGGTCTGGGAGTTGCCTCCCTGAGTGTGATCTACGCTGCTCTCATTCTGTCCTCCATGTTTTTCCCATCAGTCGTCATTAAGAAATTTGGATGCAAGTGGACCATTGTAGGCTCCATGTGCTGCTATATTACATTCTCTTTGGGAAACTTCTATGCCAGCTGGTAATAAGTATTTCCTAATTCCTATGACATTTGCAATGCATTGTGCCAGACACAAAGAATTAGGATCATTCTTAAAGTTGCAGCATAAAAGATTTATTCCAGCCAATAAACAAGAATCTAGTCACCTAAAGTTTAAAACTAAATGGGCACCAGATAAGGGTTAACAGAATTCAAGAGGGATTGGACTTGGAATGCTTGTGGGAATGCAAGGACTCTAAACTGATGACATACTTAACTCTACTCCCCAGCTCTGCCTTCCCTTCTCCATATTTGGGACAACAGATATAATTTCTGGCTGACTGATCTGTAGGGGGATACCACAATGAAAAATCTAACTGAATCGAACTAAATTGGAAAATGTATAGCTACAGAGTAGATAGGTTGATATCTGCTCATTAGATGGTTTGGGCTTCACAAAAGTACTTTAGGATTTGATAGGACAAATAAATGTTTTTAATGAATGCTTTAAGGCTATAAACATTACTGATACCTGAGGAAGCAGCAGATAGCAGCTGGGAAGAAGAATGGAAAAATATCTAAAGAGGTGTGAAACTTTTATTGACTTGAAGGATAGAACTGGGTTTTTTACGACATGCCAAGATCCGCAAATGAACAGAGCCAATAGACAACTTTGTATGTAAGTTTTTAAAGAATGAAATAGGGGCCTTCAGCTCCCTAAGATGAAGAGAAGGGAGAGCTTTTAAATATTTGAGATCAGGCCAGGCCTCAAAACGATACCAATTTCAATATGGTATTGGCAATAGAAGTAGGGAATGAAAGGGCAGCAATAGTTCCCTGCCCTTGGAATAACAGAGAAAAAAAGGAGAAGATCAGATCTGTGGTGAATAACTTTGGTGTATTTCTTCTGCCTCACTTAGCTTTGAGCATTTCTTCACACACACTGAGATCATTTTCAGATATACTTAAAGTAAGACACTGGGAGAATCAGAGATCAAATAGTCTTACTAATTTTGGATTTGAAGGAATAGCCATTTGGGTTGCCACAATTTCCATCTATAAAATTGCAGCTGTTGCTTTAGACCATACTATAGATGGTAAGATGGTTTTGCTGATCTCTAGTTTGTGGTTTTGTTTTTGTTTTTGTGTTTGTTTTTTTTTAACCAGTCCACCTCTGATATGTCAGTGAAGGGTTTCTCATCAGAACAATCCAGCCACTCCTGTGCAGCCCTTTTCATGAGCTATTAGAACAGGAGCAAAAAAGCAGAACAAATAAACAAATATGCTGGAGAGTGTATAGCAACTGCTTTTTGTAGCTGAGGCAACCACTTACATCTCCTTTAGCAAACAAAGCCTGAGCCAAGTGACACCAAGCAAAAGCCAGTAAAGGCACCATCTAACGACAGGAGTTATAATTACATTTCAAAAGGAAAGAGTAGGGCAGGGGTCTTCAAACTTGGCCTTTTTATGACTTGTGGACTTCAACTCCCAGCGTGCCTGGCTGAGGAATTCTGGAGTTGAAGTCCACAAGTCATAAAAGAACCAAGTTTGAAGACCCCTGGGGTAGGGGAAGAGAAGTTTAGCTAACATTTTATCAGCCTGGTATCCTCCACACCCCACCCCACCCATGATGTCTCAGAAGTACAATTCATAGCATCATAGGGCCCTTATTCTATCCCAAGTAAATGGTTGTCCAATCTTTTCTTGAAAACTTCCAGCGATGGAGCATCCTGGAGATTTCTTGAATCTCCATCCAGAACTTTGACCAGGTTAGCAGTAGAAATCTGGGAGTAGACCCCTCCCCAACCTAGCCAGAGGGCACTAGTCTGGCGAATGCTATGTAACCCATGTACTTTAATTTCCACCAACCTCTAGTGCAGGGGTTCTCATCCTTGGCAACTTTAAGACTTGTGGACTTCAACTCCAGAATTCCTCAGCCAGGCACGCTGGGAGTTGAAGTCCACAAGTCTTAAAGTTGCCAAGGTTGAGAACCCCTGCTCTAGTGAGTACAAAAAAATCAAGAATATCACGTGAGAAAAATATAACAAGGTAGCTTTACACAGCCATAAATAAGTTGGACTTGGACCATTAAACTCTCAAAAACCTTATTTCTTCTTATGAGGGCTTATTTTATATGATCGTATCTTATAAATAGAGGTAGTCCTTGACTTACAACCATTCATTTAATGATTGTTCAAAGGTATGACAGTACTGAAAAAAGTAACTCACACTTACAATCTTCACAACGTCCCAATGGTCATGTGATCAAAATTGGGTTACTTGGGCAGCTGACATGTATTTATCATAGCTGCAGCATCCCAGAGTCATACGATTACCATTTATGACCTTCCCAGCTGGCTTCCGACAAGCAATCAATAGGGAAACCTGGATTCACTTAATGACTATTTGATTCATTTAATGAACATGGTGATGTGCTTAATAACCACAGCAACAAAGTTCATAAAAATGGGCATGACTCACTTAAAACTGCCTTGCCTAGCAATGGAAGTTCTGAATCCAGTTTGTGGAAGTTTGAGGCATATGCCAAGGACTATCTGCATATTAATCCATTCGTAGTAGCATAACATCTCTGGAATATCCTGCATTTCATTATATTAGGCAGTCAGTCTTACGTAGATGTGATGTAGACCAGGGGTGTCAAACTGCCGGCCCGCAGGCCAGACGCATCATCAGGAAACTGTGCCCACCCCATTGCCGGCACTGGGGGGAAAGCTCCAATACGTCATGCAACGTCACGTGACGTCATGAGTTTGACATATCTGATGTAGACATTCCAGAATCACAATGTCTTCATGGAAAAATCTTCATTTATATCAGGACAAGGACAAGTTCATCTACTGCTATAACACTAATTTCTCCATGCAAATCTGCCTCTGTCTCTGTCTCTCTCTGTGTGTCTCTGTCTCTCTCTGTCTCTCTCTCTCTCTCTCTCTTTGTCTCTCTCTCTCTCTCTCTCTCTCTCACACACACACACACACACACACACACACACACACCATAGAATTTTTGCTTGCTTATTTATTTTGTTAGATTGCTATCCCACTTTTTCTCTTGGAACTCAAGGATCATTTTTCTCCCACAAGTCATTTGTAGAATAGACTAAGCTGAGATCTCCATGGCTGAGGATAAAATTGAACTTGAGCATCCTGAGGCCTGTAGCAATTGTTTAACCAGTGTAGCATACTCAGTTGTGAAAATCATGTTACAGGCAACTTTTGTGTCCGTGCATTTTCACCCAGTAGCAGGATCACAGGAGCAATGAGTATATAAGCAGTGTATTTTGCAGTGAAAATATTGGCTTGTATTTTTCTCTTGTTCTCCAAGGCCTGATCCAAATAATTTTCTTTCAGGACTTGCTTTATAGGCAAGAAAAATAGAGTTCACACAACACCCACAGTGTATAGAAAAACTGAACAGAAGGTGCTTTGAAACAAAACAGGTTGAAACAAAACAGGTTGAAAATTGTGTGATTTTTTTCTTGATCCTGACAAATCATGAGTGAAGATTTAGGAAAATAGATTCCTCATGAGCACATTTGTATAAGTGGAGAGCTTGTATATTTAAGCTTTGAGCAATGTGGCATTTCTAGTGGATTTGTTTATAGCTCTGTATGCAAAAAAAACCCCTGATCTTCATGAATGCCTCCTTGATGTTCATCAGTTTCTATTAACAGACTGAAATAGTTGAGGTAACCCTGAAAATACACTTTTACTTTTCATGTGAAAACGATGATCCCCTGGAACTGTCCAAGCTATCATTAAAACATATTCTTTTACAGTGGGGAGAGGGGAAATATGTCTATATAATATATAACTATACCAAACTGACTCTACAAATTTAGGAAACAAATTTTAAATAGGAATGGTAAGGAGTCCAACTGAACGAACTTAGCATTCCATTCTAAAGAGCTGCAGCTTCTGAATCACTCACAGGGTCATCACACGTAAAATTCATTACACAAGAATCTAGAATCAAGATCACGTGAAGTATTAATACCACTCTTCAATGCCTTGGTAAGGTCACACTTGGAATACTGCATCCAGTTTTGGTCACGACGATGTAAAAAAGATGTTGAGACTCTAGAAAGAGTACAGAGAAGAGCAACAAAGATGATTAGGGGACTGGAGGCTAAAACATATAAGGAATGGTTGCTAGAATTGGGTATGTCTAGTTTAACGAAGAGAAGGACAAGGGGGGACATAATAGCAGTATTCCAATATCTCAGGGGCTGCCATAAAGAAGAGGGAATTAAGCTATTTTCCAAAGCACCTGAAGGCAGGACAAGAAGCAACGGGTGGAAACTCATCAAGGAGAGAAGCAACCTAGAACTAAGGATAAACTTCCTGACAGTGAGAACAATTAATCAGTGGAACAGCTTGCCTCCAGAAGCAGTAAATGCTCCAACACTGGAAGTTTTTAAGAAGAGACTGGACAGCGACTTGTCCAAAATGGTGTAGGGTTTCTTGCCCGAGCAGGGGGTTGGACTAGATGACCTCCAAGGTCCCTTCCAACTTTACTACTATTATTATTATTAAGCCTAGTTTTGATTTTATTAATGCCTGGCTCACTGTGGAAAGCCTATCCAGAAACAGCCATACTTGTTATACTAGGCAAATAGAGGGTGGACATCACTTGATTTCTGGTGCCAAAGTTGCAAAGAGGCAACTTGAACCTCTGTTGGTAATGCCTTAATTCTGTATTTGTATCGTGACCTCTTACGCAACTCTGTAAGGACTGGCATTAGCGTGATGATGACAAAACACATAAATCATTATTTGCCCCTTTTACATTCTGTTTTTGTTCTTGCAGAGGGAGTACAAATAATACATTTCTCTGAAATTCAGTGGAATGATAAGTGTTTTGGATTTATATTTTGTTTCATAAAAATAACCAAATTACGTATTTTTGGCAGGTTCACACTCATCCCCACATCTATGATCTTAGGACTGGGAGCAGCCCCCCTCTGGTCAGCCAAGTGCACTTACCTTACCGTGGCTGGCAATTTATATGCTCAGAAAGTGGGGAAAATTGGAAAATATATAGTTACCCAGTATTTTGGAATCTTCTTTATGATATACCGGTCCTCTGGAATCTGGGGCAATCTAATAGCATCTCTGGTCTTTGACCAGACTCCTAACAAAGGTAATTATGTTTAAGTAGACATATAGTAAAGAAGACACATGAAGCCTATGTTATTTGTAAATAATGTAATAAGAAAAGAAATGTTTTAAGGCTTTTAAAACTCTTGTCGAGTATTACAACTGACCTATGTTCTCTTACTCTACTTCTTGGGCTTGCAAATAACTGATTCCAGATATAGTTCATATATTGCACTAAATTGGAACATAGTTTCTTAATTTTGGTTTAGCATATTAGATAATCCCATGCAATTTTACAGTCGTTTTACTCATCTGCTGACAAACTACCAAGCTGACCCTAACAAATGATGTTTCTAGCATTTACACTAAAGAATCAGTCTATGTTTTAATTATTTTTACTTTAAGTTTTATTTAATCCTTTAGTGTAAGGATAATAAAGGCTAGATGGATTAGAACAGTAGTTAGTTCTGCTAAGAAATTGTTTGGGATTGAATGTTACTAATTAAAACCACTGCTAATGGGGCAATTTTACAAAGATTTATTCATAATAGATATAAGTCCCTGATTGACCAAACATTACTATTAGGAACAAATCAGAAACTGTTAGTGATACTCTTGAAATGTTTCAAAGGACCATACTCAACTCAAAGGCACAATTACTGGGTTTTTTTTGGAGGGGGGGAAATTCACAAATAATATTATACTACTGTGAACCTTTACTCTATTTTATCATGTGCATCAACTCATTAGCAAGTTCTTGGTATAACTGCTTGAACTTCTGGACCAGGAAAAGCAATTCTCTCTAAAAAGCATTTAGAGAGAAGGACTTTATAGCAAGAATGCACAGTAGAGACCACTTAGGACAGTGGTTCTCAACCTTTTTAATGCCGCGACCCCCAACCGGTCGTAAGTTGAGGACTACTCAACCAGTCGTAAGTCGAAGACTACTCAACTGGTGCAGCACCGTTCGCAGAATGGGACTTTTGGCGGGCTCAGCAGGGCAGAGACAGCCTGGACAATTCCTATTGGCTTTTGAAAGCCAATAGAATTAGACTCTATTCAAGAGAGTCTATTCTATTGGCTTTCAAAAGCCAATAGAATAAAAGGGAGTAGCACAGCTAAGGAAAAGGGGGAAAAAATGGCAGACTGCGTTGTTTGGCGACCCCGTGAAATGGTTGTTCGACCCCAAATGGGGTCCCGACCCACAGGTTGAGAACCACTGACTTAGGAATTCATTTTTTATATAACAGAGAGTACAGGGGATTAGAATGGCCCCAGCCCTGTTAGCCTTTTCTAAGGTTTTAAAACCTGGCTATGTTCCTGTGCCTGGGGTGCTCAATGGCCCTGTTTCCTGGCTGTATTACTAACAGATCAAGTATCTTTCTCCTATGTATATTTAATCTGGATGTTTTCAGTGTTTTAAAATGTTTTTAGTATTTTTAATTGTAACATTCTTTTCTGAATTGTATGCCACCCAGAGTCATTGAGATGGGTGGCTATAGAAATTGAATGAATGAATGAATGAATGAATGAATGAATGAATGAATGAATGAATGAATCAAGTTCAGAGACTATCATAGACCCCATGGATATTTCTTGTATTAGAAATAAGAACACCAAGGCAATTTAAATTTCTATGAAAGAAAGCCTGAAAACTGATGACACAGAATCACAACTTGATTGTATATTTGGCCTTCATTTGTATATACAGCCTTCATTTTTGTCTGTATTTTGACCATTAATAAATCCCTTTTTCCTTTTTGTGTTTTTAATGTATTAGTGAATCTCACAGAAGCAGATATGATGTGCTGTGGTACAGGCAGCTGCATGATAAACACCACAGATAGGACTGTGACATCAAAAGGACCATCTAATACTTTGATCTATACTTTGATGGGAATCTACACAGGTAAGCCCTCTCAAGCATCTTTGGCACCCCATGAAGAAAAGCATACATAATTTGTATGCACAATGTATCAGAGTACATTTTAAAGTTACATAATGCAGGACCTTACTAAAGCTAGGTTCTTGGTTTAGGTAGCGCCTTGATAGGAGATTATCTAGGAAATTTGCTTTTCATGCCTTGAGCTCCATGATAGCAAGATTTAAGTGGATAAATTAATATATCAAATGTTGAGTTCTTAATTGTGGGATGGTTCAGAATGGCATAGAGAGGGGTAGGGAACCTTGGCTCTTTTATGACTTGTGGACTTCAACTCCCAGAATTCCTGAGTCAGGATGGCTGGTTCAGGAATTCTGGGTATTGAAGTCCACAAGTCATAAAAGAGCCAAGGTTCCCTACACCTGGCATAAAGCATAGATGTATTCTATTCTGAAAACCCTCAAATAGAGATCAAGGTTGACCAATGATGAGAATCAATGGAGCTGAACTTCTATGTATGGAAAATCATTAATTGACCAAAGTCAAATAAGAAAAATCAGGAGGTTTACAACTGGATCTCCTACACTTTAACCAGGATTTACAAACTATTCATATATTTTACATATTAAAATTAAATATTAAAATGAGAAAAGTGACATCTTACATGTACAGAGAATCCCTACATGTAAAATTTGAACAGGACATTGGAGAATACCTCAGAGCAGAGGAAGAATCCACTCTTAAAGCATCCCTGACATCAGATGGCTGTCTAGTTTCTGTTTAAATACTTTCAGCAAAGGAGAGTCCGCCGTCTCTCAAAGCAGTCCATTCTCTTATAGAAAGCCTCTTATTTTTAGGGACCCCTTATTTTTAGACCTCTTTTTTTCCTAACCCAATCAAAAGCATCTCCCTTTTAATTTAAATCCATCGTTTCTTGCCTGCCCTTGAAATGTTCTATAGCAGGGGTCTGCAACCTTGACAACTTTAAGACTTGTGGACTGCAGTTCCCAGAATTAAGTCCAGAAGTCTTAAAGCTGTCAAGGTTGCAGACCCCTGTTCTATAGTAACATTGCAGAAAGTATTGGATCATGTTCTGTGGTACCTGTTCACAGCATACAAGGCTTTTCTGGATTTCTCCTTCACCAAGGACCAAAGGCATGGGGTATAAGAAGCAATCTGAACTGAACCAGAATCTGAGAATTAAAAGCTATAGGCCAATTCTATAAATAAAAGCTATAGTCAAGGTCAACCATTTGTCTGAAATGGTATAGGGTCTCCTGCTGAAGTAAGGGGTTAGATTAGAAGATCTCTGATGTCTCTTCCACCTGTATTATTCTATGTTCTAAGTCAGTAATTGGAATAAGTTGGAAGAATGCTGGAAAACCAGAAGTTCAAGAAAAATATCCATAGGGTATAGGAATGTTAGTTTAATTGCAATATGAAGTCCTCGTATATTTTTGAGTCTAGGAGAATTGACTAGCCAGAAATGATAGAAAGTTAATCTGTAGCATTTCTGAACATTTCAGTCAGACATTCCCCCTCTGCTTTCCAATGGCTCACTACAAGGGACAGCTGTGCACAGATTCCATTAAGTTTTGATAAAGAATACAAAGCAAAGTCAAGTTCCCAACTGGAGTGTTCATTGCAACTAAAATATTGATAGGCAATGTGCATTTCCAGGAGGTTATTCAACATGGTTAATGTTCCTGGTGAATCCTGCATAAGCTTTGTTCCTCAGCAAACAGTTTGAAAACCACTGGTACATCATATATACTAGTATATAATTTATATTAATGCTATTCCTTGTTTGGCATACGATTCAATTCAATTATAGTTAATGCCACATGAGTTTGGGAATTTTTATTCCTATGATGTGAGATCCCAACTTATGATAAGGAAGAGGCTACACCCCAAAATCACTCAGTCATTTCAAATTTCAAATATTAGGGATCAAAATGTTATGCTTTGACTCTGAAGGTAACATTTCCCATTTAAAATATGAACAGAGAAACTGTAAATCTTACCAAATTCTGAATATTTTGTAGATCATTTTAATTCTTATATTGAATCCATTTGATTGGATTGAATATACTTTGACTCCCATCAGTATAATGTAATAAAAATTAACATTCCTGTTTTTAGTGTAATGTCCCTTCACATGTAATTCAGAAAATACTATCATTGCAAGGAAATGGCTCAAAAATATGCTCATCTGGGATAAAGAAATATTGACAGATGTGTGATACTGTATTCATGCTAATCTCAGTAAAGCCTTTGATTTGACCTGGAATGGTAACAAATGTTTTATGCAACAGCAGACTGTGGTTTGGTTTGGTTTTTTTTCCTGCTAGCTGTCATAACCAAACATCACAGCTGAGCAAAAAGAATTGTGAAAAAAGGATGCCTAAAAAGTATTCTGCTTTAGGTTAAAATGAGACATTTTTAATATTGCTAGATTTAAATTAATAGCACTTGATTTGACTTTATTATTAAATATCAATTTTTCCAAACACAACAATGTACACTGATAATTTTGTTTGTTCAAAATACATCCTTTCATTTCTCAGCTAGTGAGATTCTAGCTGTGTTGCTAGTGACTGTATTTCTGGATCAACTCTCAACCAACCAAGCAGAAAGTGAAGAAAAGACTGTGTCATCCTTTGGATCCACTTTTCTGGAAACATTTCAACATCTTAAAGATAAACGCCAGTGTCTGCTGATACCCTTGACTATGTATAGTGGACTTGAACAAGGATTCCTTGCCGGTGACTATAATAAGGTAGGTTATAAAATACAGGGTTATCTAATCTATTTCAGGTGCTAAGTGAAAAGATGCAGAAGGAACAGAACTGCACACAGTACCCAGTGTAGACTCTCTGAAGGGACTAGAAAACTCATCTAAATGATGTGCCATTAGATGTAGTTATCTGTACATTTTCTTTGGCTCTAATTCTTGGAAATATTTTTAAAAGAATAGTTGGGAATAATAATGGGATGGAAGATGCATAAGTATAGGTAGCAAGGCATTCTGGAAGAACTATTTTCTACCAATAGGCATAGTTTTTGTATGAATTGTTAATTTATAAGCCACTTCATCAAAAGTTATCTCAGAGTAGTTTACAAATTACAAAATCCCTACTTCTGGAGTGGGATTTGCATTCACAATCAGCCCAAGCCTTTAATTGCCTAAGGCAAAGAATAACATGTTGTCCCCTCCAATTCCATGCACAAAACCTCACTGAACCAGGAGTTCTCTTTTCTGTATTGTCAAAGGGGAGCAACTCCTCCACTTTATCTATGGAAGAGAGCAGGTTGAGTTTGAAGGAATGCAAAACAGGTGCCATTTTCACCTCCAGCTCCTTGCTGCTATCCAGCTTAATGGAAATGATTGTCCTGTAGAGCCAAACTAGTCACTCTGCAGATCAATTGCAGAGCATTATGCTCCTGTGTGCTGGTCTTGCATCATTAGGATGCTCTGCTTGAAAGGGTGTGAGCAATCTAATGCACATTGAAACATACATGCATTTTCAAATGAAATATATTCATGAAAAAAATGATTAAAAAGTAGACAGCAGATCCAAACATGTTTAGAAAAATTCAGTTTAGCCATGGTTTTGCCACTATGGTTTTGTCTCTTGGTGGTTCTCCCTTGTTTGAACATGTTGCATTCTGATGCTTTTAAATTGTGAATTGGTCATGTATTTGTCAATTAACTATATTGTATTAACTATTCTCTCTGTGCAAACCATTTCTACACCAATGTTTCCCAACATGATGAATTTCAGCTATGGAGGATTGCAACTCCCAGAGTTGCCTATTAACCATGCTGAATTTTTCTTATGTAAAAGATTTCAACATTAGCTTTTCCCACCCATTTGTGTGTGTGTGTGTGTGTGTGTGTGTGTGTGTGTGTACACACATACATTTCTACATTTGATTTCTATAGCTACCCATCTCAGCAAATGACTCTGGACAGCTCACAATTCACAACATATATTAGAATTAAACTTTAAAAAACATTTTAAAACAATAAAACAGTAAAAAGCATTAAAATAGTAAAAAAAAACCATTACAGTACATACAAAAGCAAGACATCTGGCCCATTAACAATATAGCTAGGAGGCTCGTGTAGTGCCCCAGGCTCAGGAGCATAGCCAGATTTTTATATTCCAGTTGCATCAGAATCAAAACTTTCAGAATTCTTATTCAATATGTCCAAAGAATTCCATCTTTGCTAAGAATTCCAATGTGTTGAAATTACTAATTTTATTTTTTACTCTTATTACATTTATATGGCCGAATTCTGAGTACTAAACAAATACAAAAACATAATACAGAACAATTGTAAAAAAACAAGTTGAGGCACAAAAATCATCATCAACATGTTATACATAGAAATGCCCGAGTTCAGTTAGTCTCCAGTTCCAATGCTGGGGGAAAAACCAAGTCATTGCAACCTTGCAGAAGGCCAAAAGGGGTGGGTCTGTCCATGGGAAAGCTGTTCCATAAGGCAGGCACCATGAGAGACAGCACATTTCCCAGCACCTTCCAGGTCACATTGTTTCATCAAGGAGACCCCGAACATTTCCCCTCTATTAGATTGTTGGAACAGGCAGAAACCAAAGGGATAGGCTGTCAAGCAATTACAACACACCTGGAGGATACTCCTTTGACAATGAGTAGGTTATGTCTTTTCAATTCTGGGTCCAATTTTCACTTGTTTTGATGTTTAAGAACAGCTGCAGTAACTGATCAAGTCCTAGCCATCTACCCATATTGCCCAGCAGCTGCACATTGCATTTAGAGGCTCTGTAGCAAGACAGAAAATAATGTTTTATTGGTTATGTAGGTGTTGCATGAATATTCAGCACCAGCATTCTGAAGCACTCATCAGGCCTTTAACTGCAAACATGAAAATTGAAGCTGCTGTTCTGTATAACAATATAACTGTGTGGGCAATTCTCTCTTTCTTATTTTCTTTCTAGTCCTATGTGACCTGTGCTCTTGGGATAAACTTTGTTGGATATGTGATGATCTGCTTTTCAGCTACAAACTCACTCGCCTCCTTGCTGTTTGGCAAGATTTACCAGTTCACTGGAAGAAAGGTTCTCTTTACACTGGGTAGGTAAAAGCTAACTGGGTGCTTGTCTACTGTGATGGTCTCAATGTGTTTGACTCGAGCTTTGAGGAATAGAATACAAGTTAAGAAGCAATTGCTCAGAGACATAATCAATCTAGACCAGTGGTTCTCAACCTTTTTAATGCTGCGACCCCCAACCAGTCGTAAGTCGAGGAGTACTCAACCGGTCATAAGTCAAGGACTACTCAACTGGTGCAGCACAATTTGCAGAATGGGACTTTTGGCAGGCTCAGCAAGGCAGAGACAGCCTGGACAATTCCTATTGGCTTTTGAAAGCCAATAGAATTAGACTCTATTCAAGAGAGTCTATTCTATTGGCTTTCAAAAGCCAATAGAATAAAAGGGAGTAGCACAGCTAAGGAAAAGGGGAAAAAAATGGCAGACTGCATTGTTTGGCGACCCCCATGAAATGGTCGTTCGACCCCAAATAGGGTCCCGACCCACAGGTTGAGAACCACTAGACTTCCCATCACTAGCAAGATGAAAAACTAACAGTCCCAATAGTTATATAGATAAATATATCTGCTGAATCAGTAACTTCATTGAAAAATTCTCCAAAGGTGCAGCAATTATAATTCACTGTAATTCCAAGAATTCTCAGAAAACCTTCTGGAGGTAAAGGAGCTAAAGGTTTCCAATGTGGAGAAGGTGATCTGGAAATTGCGTGACCTATGGGCTTCATTAAATTTTGACCAAGTATATTAATTTTAGTATCTAACCTCAGTTCAACAATTCTGGTACTCCTTTTACAATGTATCCATATATGTGATGTTAATTTTATTTTTATTTTTACAAAAAACAGACATTAGAGCTGTGCATACCTTGAAAATATTTTGGAATAATTGCTTTAGATCTTGCACAAATGTTACTATTTTGCTATTTGTTAAAGTGTGAGCCTTGGAAAAAGGAGGCTGCTGCTTTAAAGGCACATTGTAGTAATCTTAATTAGTAGTCTTCTTAAAGCAGCAGCAACTTTTTAGAGGCTAATGTGGTAGCTTGAGAAAAGGCTGCTTTAATTAGAAAGGTTAAGTGATATACAAGAATCATAGAGAGGAAGAGACCTTTGATGTTTTGCAGACCAGCACCTGGCTCAGGTACAAGTTTCCTACAGCATGTCTAGTAGATGATCATCCACCTTCTGTGGAAACCCTTTAGCAAAGGAGAGCTTGCCACATAATGTGGCAGCCTTCTCCATTGGCTAACACTTCATACAATCATGAGGTTCTTGCCAATCTCTAGTCTAAACTACCTTCCTTAGTTTTGACCCTGGTTCTAGTCCTACCCTCTGTGGCAATAGAGAATAAGGTTGCCAAGGTTGAGAAGCACTACCTTCATTGGTTCCTTCTATGGACCAATCCTGCTTCTTCCTTCCAGAGTCTACTTGGTGTTAGAAATGAAGTTATGGGTAAGGTGCTTTTTGAATCCTATGAAGCCAAGCAGTTCTTCAATTCATAAAGTGTGAATTAGAATGCGCCTTACTGTTTTTTCATGATCTTTGCCTCATCCAACAGGTGCCATTCTCTATCTCGGCTGCATAATAGCACTACTGCTCTGGAAACCTCACCCCAACCAACTTGCCCTATTTTTTATAATACCTGCCATCTGGGGTGTAGCAGATGCTATCTTACAAACACTAACTAATGGTAAGCATTTATAGTGAGAGAAGGTCAACAGAAAGATGAAATAGGACCGTGGGCTTTATGGAAAGGAGATAATCAATTCCAGGAACGGCATTAGGCTTGCTGGAAAGTGTCATCTCAGCAGGAACTGTTAGATGGATCTATGTGATGTTCGTGGATTGCCTATGATTGGTAGGGCTGTTCTTCTGTGCATAATGATCACACCCTATTTCTATGCAAATTTGATGAATTTTTAAAATCTGCAGGAACATCCACCCACATTCCTGTGTTCATAAAAATGTATACAATTTCTTGAACATACATAGTTGCATTTTCCCTTAATATGTGCCTTTTAGTGCAATGCTTTTTACAAAGTATATTTTTTTTCAACATTCCCATTTCAGTAAGGAAAAAAAAATACGTAAACTTCTAAAAAGGGGAAAAAAACCTGAAGGATTTCATATTTCAGTTTGGATAGTCAGAGTTTTAGATACGTTAGTTCCTCTTGAAATAATGAACCGAGTAAACTTCATCCCAAACCCATAAAATTATTTGATCTCTAAGAATTGTTAAGACTTATCAACACTTAATACATTGATCTTAGAAGGCAATATATTCTGCACACTCCATCTAGAATTTCGCTGCCAGGGAGTGGCCTGGCATCCATCAACCTCATTAAGACCCTTTGAAGGAGGTGTTTTTTTTTTTTAACTGTTTCCCGCCTTGAAGTTCTGCACCATCCCACAATCAGACTTGTTTAGGTTTCATTCAATGATCTTTGTGTTTTTCTGTTTTCCTTTCCAATTGTGAGAAATGGTAAGCTCAAATTACTAAACTAACACTACAAAAGGAGAGGGAAAGAACAGGAAAATTAAGAAAGATCATTGGTAAAATAGTGTAACTGTTTTTATTTTATATCTGTTTAATTTTTACAACCCATTTGAAAGCTATGGGTAAAGATTTATTTTTATTTATCATTCACATTGATAAATAGTATCCAGCTGACCTTAGCTGATCTCAGAAGCTAAGCAAGATTAACCCTGGGATTTCCAGAATTGTAGGTTGGACAGCATTATTATTATTTTTTTAAGTAAGGTGAAGCTCTGAAAAAGACAATGGCAAATTATATATCACTGCTCCAAACCCTCACACAGATGACTTGAAGGTATCCTTATGTGTTTTTTTTTAACAGGGTGCCTTCTAAATAAACTTTTTTTAAAAAAGGGGGAGGATTTAAAACCAGAAGACATTTAAAATTACTATTTATAATAATAATAATAAAGTTGGAAGGGACCTTGGAGGTCATCGAGTCCAACCCCCTGCTCAGACAGGAAACCCTATACCATTTCAGACAAATGGCTGTCCAGTCTCTTCTTAAAAACTTCCAGTGTTGGAGCATTCACTGCTTCTGGAGGCAGGTTGTTCCACTGGTTAATTGTTCTAACTGTCAGAAAGTTTCTCCTTAGTTCTAGCTTGCTTCTCTCTTTGATCAGCACATATGTTTGAGAATATAATTATTAAATAAAATGTTACATATGAAGAATCAACAGTTTTATAAAATAAACTGTTGAGTAGAAAACATTTTAAAAAAATTATTGCAAAGGATAGAGAGGGAGAAGGGAAGAGAGATGATAGATAAATGTGTGTATTTCTGAACTTCTGTTTGAGAGATTATTTTGCTTAGTAATTTCTGGGCTATTTTAAAAACAAAACAAAACACCCTTATATATTTTCTTTCCCATTTCTGGGAGACATCACAGCACCAATCTAAGAATAAAACTTCTTAGATTGCACATCACCCTTATCTCACTCATTTTATGCCACTTAATGCCTCAGCTACTTCACAGGCAGTGGTTGCAGCCAGAAATTAGCAAATGAGGACTATGCGTTCTCCCTTCAGCTTCTCAATTATCTAAATCACTGTTTCTCAACCTTGGCCACTTGATGATGGGTGGACTTCAAATCCCAAAATTCCTCAATCAGCATGGCTGGCTGAGGAATTCTGGAAGTTGAAGTCCACCCGTCTTCAACTAGCCAAAGTCGAACACTGATCTAAATAATCTAGTGGAGTGGTGGCAAACCTATGGCACGGGTGCCAGAGGTGGCACTCAGAGCCCTCTCTGTGGACACGCGCGCCATCGCCCCAGTCTTAGGCCTTCAGCTGGGTTTTATAAAACCTTTTCACTTTAGGCCTCCGCCGCCGTGTGGGGAAAAAAATGTTCAAACAGTCAATTTCAACTTCTTGCGGGGAAAAAAAGATCTTGTAAAGTTGGAATTGATTGATTGAACTTTTTAGTCCCACCCAGTCTGCCGTTACCACCGCAGCCACACCCACACAATGGGCCACGCCCACACAATGGGCCACACCCACACAATGGGCCACACCCACCCGGCACTCGACGATGCATAAGTGGATTTTGGGTTGCAGTTTGGGCACTCAGTCTCTAAAAGGTTCGCCATCACTGCTCTAGTGGTTACATGATTTCATGCTAAGCAATGTTCATTGTGCACTAGTGTTATCAAGGCTGCATGCCACCTGAAGAATCTAATGTCAGTTACTGTAGTCTCTGTAAGTAAGAGATCCTGTATGTTCTCCTTGCATGCTCAGAAGATCCTTCCTTTTCTTTCACAGGGTAGTTAAATGGTAGAGCCATGCTACATTTAAAACTTGATGTTTTAGGATTGCAGATAGTCCTCACATACCAACTGCAACTGGGACCAGCAATTCTGCTGTGAGGTAATGCAGTTTTTAAGTGAAGCAAATCACCACAGGTCATTAAGTGCAACATCAATAACTGGGTCTTCCTGCAGGTTTCCCTGAGAACGGTCAAAAATTCATCAGCCTTCAGAACTGAAGCAAATCTTTCACAAAGCTGTATTTTAAAATAGGGAGCTAATACTAATCAAGAGCTCCCCCTAGAGCATACCTAAAGAAAATGCAGGAGTCAGTTTCATTCATTCACGATACATTTGTTCAGAATATGTGTGCGCTGCATTTAGATTTGCAAAGCTAAAAATATCCCAAGCAGCAAATGAGAGCAAACCCACTTCTCTGTCTAAAAAAAGAAAAGATTCAGGAAAGTCTTGCCATTCAGAGCAGAGATATGAGAGCCAAAGAGTTTGATACGATTAGAACACTCCTTCCCTGCAGCCACAAAAGATATCCCAATCTATAACACAGCACCCTGGAAATACTTGATACAAAAGGAGAGGTATAATAAAAGACTTTATTGCAGAATCACCTTTGTTTGAAATGGGTGACAGCTGTTGTTTAAAAAGAAATGATGATGATGATATAGTCCAACCCCCTGATCAAGCAGGAAACCCTATATAGGCAACCTTGGCTCTTTTATGACTCGTGGACTTCAATTCCCAGAATTCCTGAGCCAGCCACGCTGAGGGGAAAGGGAGAGGTTTCCAAGCTGAGCCATACTGGCTCAGGAATTCTGGGAGTTGAAGTCCACAAGTCATAAAAGAGCCAAGGTTGCCTACCCCTGCCCTATACCATTTCAGACAAATGGCTGTCCAGTCTCTTCTTAAAATAAACATAAATCTGAGTTGATGTCTTAAAGGTTATCTGACATAATTCTCTTTTTTTTTATAGCTCTCTATGGAATTTTATTTGAGAAGCACAAAGAGGCAGCCTTTGCAAATTACCGCCTGTGGGAGTCATTGGGCTTTGTCATAGCCTTTGGCTACAGCACCTTCTTAAGTGTCTCCATCAAACTGTACATTTTGTTAACTGTACTGTGGCGATGGTCTTTTATGGAGTAGTCGAATATCTGGAATCCAAAATGTCTTCTGGAACACCCAACACTGCTAATCAGGAACTAACCACATCACAGCAAAATGCTCAATCAACCAACCTCTAAGTAAGGAATTCTATGCAGAAAAGGGTTCTAAATCAAAGCTTGCATAAGGATATTTACTGGACAATAGAGAAGGGCCTGAATGATGACAATGAGAAGGGGTCAAGGCACTGCTATAACACTGCACAGGATTTTTTTTTTCATTCTTCTTTTGTGATAAGACTTGTGCCTTGTATAGTCTGAGCCCAACCTACTTCACAGGATTGTTGTTATAGGGAACAAATTGGAGGAAGGAGTCCTGTGTAGGCCACATGGATTCCTGGAGCAAAGATGGATAATGGACAAATATTGATTTTCATTTTTACCTTTTTTTTAAAAAAATAGGTTTTTTCCAAATCAATAAACAATGCATAATCAATAAACAAAACTTTTTTTGTACTAAACAGTTTGTATTGGCACAGCAGATATAAATTGACGATTGCAACTGGATCTTGTTGAAATCAGTTAAGAGTAAACATTTTCTTTAGAGCTAAGAATTCTAGGCAATGAGCCATATCCTAGCTCCCCATTTATGCAACTGTCAAATTTTGTATGCATTCAGCTGTGATCATACAGACTGGATACCGTGTATTTCCTTCTAATATGAGAACTCATACATTCATAAACAAGCTTGCATTCCCTGAGGGACACATAATTTTTTCTGATCTCGGTGACTCCATGTGAGATCAGATATTCTGCTAGATGAAAACTCCGCACCACACCAAGGACTGCCCATTCTTTTTGCACTGGAAGGAGCCTTCAAACTACTTTAAGCCAAACTGGGGACTACTGCATTCCATTGCCCCCCCCCTTTCATTATAGTTTCTGAATTATGTTCTGTGAACCATCACAAGATTTTTCTAAACAGGAGTGAGATTTGATGCAGGAAGATAAGGCCACTGATGAAATGACAGGAACCTAAGGGAAGCCCAACACCAGAGTTCAGATCAGAAATATTATTGTAATTAATGCAGTGTTGTGTAGCTCTTCTGCTCTACCAAGTGAGCAAAGTGGGTATAGGATAAATATTAAATAACTAGATAAAAATGCAGATTCTTTTTTTCCCTTTTGCACAGACGTCTGTTTATTACCTCCCCCCAGAACTCTTCACTCTTTTTAAGATTTAATGTTACTCATGAAATTTAGTATTAATTCATTAATTAAATAAAAATGGTGCCAAAAAGTAACAACGCACATATGTATGTGTAAAAAAAAAATCAACCTATCCATGTCAGAACTTGCTCCATCATTTAACATTAAAATAAACAGATACAGTAGTCTTCAACTTATAACCACAATTGAGGACCAGAATTTCCTTTGTTAAGCAAGGCAGTTGTTAAGTAAGTTTTGCACAATTTTACAACCTTTCTTGCTATGCTTATTAAGTGAATCACTGTAGTTATTAAGCAAATCAGGCAGTTGTTAAGCAATTCTCGCTTCCTCCATTGGGTTTGCTTGCTGGGAATCATGTGACCCTGGGATGCTGAAACCATGGAAAATACATCCCCTGTTGCTTAGGCCCAAATTTTGATCATGTGACCACAGGGATACTGCAATGGTTGTAATTGCAAGGACTGGCTGAAAATCATTTTGTTCAGTCCCGTTGTAATTTTGAATGGTCACTAAATTAACTGCTGCTGTAAGTCAAGGACTACTTATATGAATGTTATTTAATCTGGGAGATTAAATTATTTAATCTGCAATATTTCATTTTCCTTTTTTATCTTTGATTCCCCAAAGTCACTCTTTAAAAAAAATACAGAATATAACTATCGGGAATAACAACTGATACTGTCTAAAATCATACAATAACATTATGAAATTGCAAATCACAATAAATTCTTTTTAAAACTGAAAAAGAAAAAAACAGGTTTACTATTAATATACCAAAGAGACAAAATAATAAAATAACATTTTTTTTATTTACTTCTGCAGTGATCCTTCTAGGCATTAAATGGCTGCAAATATCTCTGCTCCAAGCTACTTTTGTTTCCAAGCTAAAAAAACTTACTTGATGAGCTTTGCATGGGTTCAGCAAAAACAAGAGCTGATAAAGTCATTGGTAATCTAAGATGTCTCTGATCCTGGTTAAGACTGGGAAGTAAATGCACTAAAGAAAAGAAAGGGTAGCTGAAGGTTTTTGTGACGATGGCAATATTTGCTTGTGTTCATAAGATCTGTTTCACATTGCTAGGCAACTGTTCGAATCATTGTGACTTATTTGTTCCATGAAAGATCCAGGTGAGAAGCAGCTATTAATGCTTTTTTCAATAGCTTTTGAATTTTTACCTGAACCTTAAAAAAAAAATCAACCAAAGTAGAGATGCAAATTTAAATGATGCCTTCTCCCTGAATCAAGGCTGGACCAGATGGGTTGTGCTGAAGACCGTGAGGATAATTGCTATGCCCTAAGAGCACCAGTGATATCATCCAAACTCACCCACGGGAAAAGGTATGTGAACCTTCCATTCCCAAAGAAGTAGATCTTAGCTCATTTCCAGAAGAAAAATTAAGTTGAGAGCAACAGTAATAAAATGGATAAGACCAAAAAAACCCCAAACAATTGGAAATTAGCTTACTGGAGACAAGCTTGGGAGTAGGAGAATTTACCTGCTTCCCAGAGGATGGACTTACGTTTGAAAGATTGCTAGATGACAGATCTGATGGAAGATGTCCTTTACTTGAAAGCCTTCCTGTCCAAGATTAAGAAGCTTCTGAAGAAACAGCAATGGCCATGAAGTTATCTGTGCATAGGGAGTTCCTGGACAACACTGAGGGCTGCATCAGCATTATGGTTGCCCTCGGGGGGGGGCAGGTGCTTGTGACTGGGGTAGGTGCGGCTTACTGGGTGGACATGGCCTACTGGGTGGGCATGGCCTACTGGGTGGGCCTGGCCAGCTCAAAGTCAC